TTTGTCAATTCTTAGTCCTGTGGCTGGCATGGAAGCAGCCATAATCTCCTTCGGGCAAGGGACTGAGATCTGTGCAGAATCTGTCATCAGTCATCAGTATAAATGGATCCCATGGTGCATTCGATAGCAGACCTGACCAGAGAGGAATGAAATCACTGTGAATTGATTATCTTTGTTCATTTTGTACTGACTGAGAGTTTGGCCAGTTGGTGATTGTACTGTTTTCTGTCCTGTCCCCTCTTCAGCTGCTACAGAAGCCTAGGTACATTAAGATTGCATCATCAGTACTCTTAATACTCAGCTTTATAGATCACTGCTGGTTTTATTATGTCATTGTGTGAAGTGAGATTTTGGCAAAAGCAAACAAGTTTAAGGACAAAGCGGATGGAACCAGATTCACAAAGAAAAATCAAAGAATGTACTATGTTTTATTCCTTTAATGTCAGTAATTCTCCTGTTGCCTTCAAGATATTATGAACCAGAAATACCAAAACTTGATTTTTACTATTGGTCAGCGTAATGTTTTGGTAATAATTTTTCTCTGTGTGCACTGAAGAATCTGTATCCATATTGGCTTTTAGTGCTCAAGGAACAATACCTGGAACAGACTGACTGTTCTCCTATGCTCAGACTAGTGCAGCTTTTATTCATTTAAGAATTAATTTCATTAAATAAATGAATAGCAAAGAGAAAGAATTAAAATGTTTTTTGTGAGAGCATCTGCTATTTCCTGTAGCTCAGTCACTCTTGATGGAGGTTTTCTGAAGTAGTTAAATGTGACAAGTTCTCTGACAGATGTTTTGTTCCTACCAGTCTGTCTTTATATTTCTGTTTATTTCACAGAAGCATAGAATAATTTGGTTGGAAAAGACCTTTAAGATCAAGTCCAACCGTACCTCTCCACCCCTAAACCATGTCCTTAAGCACCTTGTTTACCCGTCTTTTAAATACTTCCAGGGATGGTGACTCAACCACTTCCCTGGGCAGCCCGTTCCAATGCTTAACAACCCTTTCTGTGAAAAAATTTTTCCTAATATCTAATCTAAACCTCCCCTGGCACATTTATTTCTGTGTTCCTGTAGGAAGAGGCAGACTTAATCTCATGTTCTAAAAGGCTAGACCAGAGCTTTGGCAGACAGCAGACTTTTTGATGAAGCTTAAGGCTTATTTCACTTTATTTACCTGTAAATTAACCATGAACCAAAGTAATCTCTTAGAATACTGCAAACCTGCTCAGGTTTACAGCTCTTCTTTGAAGTTCTCAATCTGCCAGAATTTTTTCAATTTTGAATTCAACTTCTGGTATAGAATCAAGTCATTAACAGCTGGATACTCATTAGTGCGAAACATTGCCTGAAAAGCAAAGGTGAGGGCGTGTAAATGAAAACAGCTTCTGTTGTCTTTTTGAAGGCAGGTGGTTTTCTTGAAAGTAAGTTCTTAAGGGTGGATGTCATGAGGATGGAGCCAGACTCTTCTCAGTGGTGCCCAGCGACAGGACAAGGGGCAATGGGCACAAACTGAAGCATAAGACGTTTCAGTTGAATATGAGGAAAAACTTCTTTACTTTGAGGGTGGCAGAGCACTGGAACAGGCTGCCCAGGGGGGCTGTGGAGTCTCCTTCTCTGGAGATATTCAAAGCCCGCCTGGACGATGTCCTGTGTAACATGCTCTAGGTGAACCTGCTTTAGCAGGAGGGTTGGACTAGATGATCTCCCAAGGTCCCTTCCAACCCTTACCATTCTGTGTTTCTGTATTTGTAATTATGCAGAAGGCAACTGGGTTTTGTGACCTCAATTATGTAAATTGCATTTAAAGAATATTTTCTGCTCAAGAGGGAAAGGGTTTGGGTTCAAAACCAATTTTCATCACCTTTTCTTTATTTTCATGTTACTACCTTGTTTTCTACTGTTGTGTTCTATGCAAATTTTTTGTATTTTTTGTCCATGGTTTTTGCTCTCCTGCAATTGAAAAGACAGATTCTAATACATAGTCACTATGTGAGTTGACCTATCAGCTCCCACCTTATAGAAGTCATCCATGGTTTAAGATCTTGAGTGAGGGTGGAAGGGTCAATCTCTGCATGGGTGTTGCAGTTCTTATCATTCATCTCACTTGCTTTTAAATACTATCACAGGGGAAATACTTACATGGGCTCCCACTGAGAAACTGGCACAATTTTGATATTATGATAAGATGGATTGGTTACAGAAAAGATTCTCCAAGTACAGATGCATCAACTTGTACCCTCTCTGAATTACGTGTTTCATTCACTTCATTTTCAAATTGGACTGTCATGAATTTCTTCAGTCTTGGGGAGTTCTTGTTTGCTTTGTTTGTTTTTCTTTGCTGTAATATATATATGTATAAGGATATACATTCTTGGATACATTTTTGCAACTGAAAACCAACCAACCAACCCCTTTCTGGCTTCAGGTCCAAGCCTGCAGTGGAACATAGCTGTTAGTTACCATACAGCAAAACAGTTTAGGAAGAGAGGTATGAAGAGAATGCTCTTCAGAATGTAAAAACAATCCTGATGGGTTATCCCAAAGCTTAGCTGGTCTGGTATGCCACTGAGAGTGACCAAAGCAGATGCCTAGAGAGGAATACAAGGACAAGGAACATATCTGCTGCTTTCCCCAAGTACTTTCTTTTTCCATTTTCTAGCTGGAGGACTCTCTGAAGTAGACGTGGTCACCAATGAATGTCCTGCTTTGCTTTGAGCATGTAAACTTTCAAGCTCCAAGCAATTCAGTGACAAAGACTTCTATATCTTTACTGCTTAATATGCGAAGAACTGTGTTTGTTTTGAAATTGCCATGTGTAGGTGCATTGGTGTGAAGTACTTCATTGAAGTACGTACTGAAGTGCAAAGTGATCAGGAATAGGTAGCTGGTAGTGGCTGAAGACCGTGTTTCCTTCCATAGCCAGCAACGGGTGCAAGGATGAAGAGTCAGAAGCAAAATATTTGGGGTTTAAGGGATTAGTTCATCCTGCCATAGTTCTGCCTCAAATTGGAAGTGTCAGGTTTTTGTCCTCTTTTACTTTTTTTATCTCACCTGTGTGCTGGTTCCTCTTCTGGAATTGTTACTCATCTTATTTAAAAAAAAAAAAGGGAAAACAAACAGAAAAATCTGAAGAGAGTCATAGGTAGCTAACAAATCTAATCTAATCTTCAAATTAGAAATGGCTGTGAGAAAGTAACTTTTGATCTTAGCATCTTTATCTGTTACTGTAATTATGTTATACAGAGACTGCTACATAAAGACATGTTACTTAACTCTGTGAACAATTTTCTTCATATACCACATCAAAAGTAGTCCTTAAAGTTTATAGCATTTTCTTCTGCTAGACCTCAGTGTAGGATGAATAAGAAGAGGATTGCTGATTGCAAAGCATGTTTAGTCATTTCTGTCCCATTAGTAGCCTCCATGGGTAGCCTCAAAAGCATGCGATTCCTCTGAATGTTGGATCCTTTCTTTTAGTGTTGAGGAGTATGAACACTAGTAAAGGACAAATGGTGTTTAGCAGTTAAGTGAGTTTTAGAATATATTTCTAGTTGAAGAAAAAAAGGTATTTATAAAGGGATTGGCAGGATCCATACATGTTTGATTGTTTTTGTAAGTGAAATGAGGAATAGCTGATCTGCAAATTCAACAAAAGCTCAAGTCAAGCAGAAGTTTGTAAAACTTGCAAAATGTTTCAGGAAGAATTATTCTCCAAGAGGCTTGGGCACTGTTACTACTATGTAGATCTTGCCAAGTGGAACTAGATAAGCATTAGTTGGTTCATTTTCCTCTAACTTGCTGTGTATTAGTCACTACGTTACTACTGGTAGTTGTAATAGTAAGATATGTAATAAGGAACTAGCAACAGAGCAGGTAAGCCCTGTCTGCAGTGTCAACAGGAGCAAAAAGACCAACAGTTTGTTCTATAACAAGGAGACAAACCAGTACACAACAAGCTATCAGCTGAGTAATACGACCACTTTCTGACAATATCCGTAAAGGATGTTTGTTTTTAAGTGATATCTGGAAGCTGAGAAAGTGATAAAGGTATATGGTTATCTAGCACTGTCCCTGCTCTGTACATACCTTTGCTTCCTGGCTGAAGTTCTGTACTACCTGGTCTTTGTAAGGACAATCCCAAAGCTAGGCAAAATGACAAAGTGAAATATCTCTTTTAACCTCGTTATCTAACTCTGTTACAGGTTTTTTTGGTTTTTTTTTTTTTGGGGGGGGGGGGGAATCCCACTCACTTTGATTGCATCCTTGTCCTTTATTTAAAAAAATAAAACATTCCGAAGTGAGTGAAGTCAACTTTAAAGGTAATGCAAGTTTGAAATACCAGATCTTATGGGAAGCTGTCATAGGCACTTCTGTGTGTGGCTCACAATTGCAGTCACTTTTGTCTGCACATTTAAAGGAATAATCTTTGTGGTGTACGTGCAGGACTTTTGATACATAAAGTGATGAAATTCTTCATGCTGTATTTTGGAGGTAGATTCTTAGATGGTTGGCAGTTGGTTTTTTTGTCCACTTGATTTCTAGCACAAAAGCATAACTCTAGTTTGATTCTAAATGATGGATAAGTAGCCCTGTAATCCTGTCTGTGCTACAGGGTGCTGCAAAATGTATACTGTTAACTTTTTTTATCACAGTTTTGGATTTGTCTGTCTTGCCTACATGATTTGGCATGAGAAACATCTGACCTTTATTATCTTATGAAGATAAGGCTCATTTAACCTTCTCATCTAATCTTGGGCCAGATGGAGAGCTGAGAGAGTTTTCAGGGTAAACACATTACTGGACTGATTGTGAATAAATATAGGAATCTGATAGGAAGGACAGGGTGAATAAAGAATGTACTACAATTTGCAATAGGCTCTTTGAAATTATTAATTTAAAAAAGAATAATTGTGGATGGTCTTCCCTGAGTCTTCAGTAACTGAATATGAGTTTCAGTAAGCACAAGGGTAATTATTGCATTGTACAGTTCATTTGTGTGATGCTAAAACGCTAATTTCAGTGCTATCCAGTGGTCAATTATTGTGTGCAAGACTTAACGCATCCACGATCATGTACTTGCACTTCAAGCTGCTAGAAGCCATACATTGCTAAATGTTTTACATAAAACTTGAATAAATACACTTGTAGCTAGTTTAGAGCAGAACAGAAATCAAGGTGACCTTAGAAAGAAAAAATAATGATAGTTGTATTTTGTTACATATTTGACAAATACTTAACAAAATGTGTCTCTTCAGTTCACAGAGCATTTCAGTTAAATAGGTGGCAACAAAATCTGTTGACATTCTGAATAAAGAAGTTTTTTCAGTAGGGTTTTTCTTAGCCCAAGGGTAGTTTGTATCACTACGCCCAATACACCACTATCCTAATTTTCCAGGAAAAGCCATGAAGCTGTAAAGACATCCGTTAATAACGCAAATCAAGCATTAAAATCTTAGCTACATATAGGAGATGGTATTAGTTTAAATAAACACATCAAGTTTAACTGGACCAGGTTTTTACAAACAAAATATAAATGAAGGTGAAAATGAATACAAAAACTGCAAGAGAATTCACAACCTTCATTTTCAACATTGGTTTGAAGAACAGTTTTGAATTTAAAGGAGTAAATGTTACAATATCAATGCATAGTGTGTGTACATACATTCAGATTGGCAAAAGCAACAAGTAAAGAGGACGTGCCCTTTTTCACTAAGTATTTTTAAAGGTTCTTTTTTTTAGTTCTTTTAAAGCAGTAATAATGTAGTATCTGAATTTCTAAAACTGATTCTGCAATTCCATATTTATTTTTTATCTTCAGATAATGTTTGACACAAGTATTCTTCCATTTCAGAGGCATTCTATAAGTGGACCAATCTCAGCTTCAAAACCCCTTGCTACGCTGACAGACAAAAGACCAAGCTATGCTGAAATCCCTGTTCAAGGTATTGATTCAAGTTCATTTAAACTTTGTTTTTAGCAATGCCATTAATGCTTCTTTTTGTATTTTGTATCATTTAGTATCCAAAGTATTATCACTTACACACTTTTTGTTGCCATAATACTTTCATAGCATCACAGAATATTTCAAGTTCAAGTTTTCATTATTTATATTTCATCACACATGGTGGCATATCATAAAGATACTTTTTTGAATTTTCAACAAAATCATGATTGCATCTGGATAACTTGGCATTATTCTGACAGTTTTTAATGTGTGCATAAACTGAGATCACTTGCAAAATCAAGGTAAGGTGATTTCAGGGTCTTCCAAATATTAAAAATGCACAGCTCTGCGGTTACATTATGTATTGTGTGGTGGTTTGGTTTTGGTTTTTTTTCACCCCAGAATGGAACAAGGATGATGGTTGGCATTGCATTGCATGTGAATAAAAAAACATAAACTTATTAAGTATTGAATCTTCAGGAGCCAGATGAAAAAAATTGAGTGGAATTGAGTGTTGATTTATCTGTTTCCCAATATTTCCCTGTTCTGTGAACTTTGTTTTGTCTCTCAAAACACTGTTCACAATGTGCTCTTCCTGTGAGAATGAATGGCTATCATGTGGTGGGTGTAGCTCTCTGATTTATGCCTGCTTTAGGGTTTTTTTTTTTGTAGATGTTTCTCAAGATAATCCCCATATGACTCCAGGCTGAATATTTCCTCTCAATTTGGTATTCCTGAGGTCTGATGCTTTCTAAAGGGTTGGGTTTTTTTTTTTTGTAGCACTTCATAATAGTCTGTATGTGCCAGATTTCCTTCTTGCTTTTGTTGAATGCATATTGAGGTTATTTGTACAATGCAGCTGGAGTTTTAATTTTAGAAACTTTGATATTTTTAGGAATATTGAAATGCCTTTCCAGGAAGATAGTTTAGAATTCTTTAATTGTTACAGAGTTCATGTGTAGACATAAGCTTAAACACAAAATGAGTGGTATGCTTTATATAGTTTTTGTGTTTTGTCAGTTAATGCAGTAGCAGGACTGCATTCAAAAAGAGAATATGCCAGACAGAATTCCATTTACAGCCATATATATTTTTAAGTGTCTCTGTATATTTCTTTCTACATTTTCAACTAATGAATGGGGTCTCGCTCATGTCATGGTTTTTTGTATTCAAATTGCTGCCTTTAAGTGTTTCTACGTAGGAGTCTATAAACCTTTTCTTTATAGTATAAAGGTTTGATTTGAAGGAATATTCCTTCAATAACAGGAAATAGTTTTGATTTGATGCTACAGAAAATGAATTTTGTTGTAGTTTGATTTTACTCATTGGCAGTAGGCAGAACTAATCTTTACCTACAATATGTAAAGGCACCTTTTTGACTCTACTGCATGGGGGATGGAAAAAAAAAAAGCATCTTTTTATTTAAAAAATAAAACCCCAACCCAAGAAACCAAAGGGGTGGGGGGGGAAATCACGAGGGACAAACCAATCCACATGATGAATAGCAAATTGAATATTTTTGGCCATGTACTAAAAGGGTATTCCTTGCTTAGCCTTTGGTTTAACAATTCATTTTTTATAGACCAGGGCAAGTGGATTAGTAAGAGGCCTTAGGGAAAAAGGATTAGGAAGGTCATGATGTATTCGTGGTGATCTTTATTGGTAATGAGCAAATTTAGGTCTTCTCTTCCATACAGATAAAATCAGTTGATCTCACTAAAACCAGCCAAACTCAGGCACTGGGAGACAATATTCATGACTCATACTTAAATGTCTTACATTTAACTGGAATCTTTGTTAATGATGTTCTCTCTTCTTTGTCTTTGTCTAGAACATTTGTTGAGAACATCTTCTACCAGCAGGCCAGCGTCTTTGCCAAGAGTACCCGCTATGGAAAGTGCCAAATCTATTTCTGGTAATATCATGTTTTTCAGATGATTAGTAAAATCAGGAACTCTAATTTCAACACTGTACTTACAGATATACTTTACTTTTTCAAGAGAAAACTTTGGTCTTCAGACCATCAAACTCATGTCAAAAAAACTATTTGGATATTTGGAATAGCTTATTTTTCAATGCTCAAATTTTCTATTGAAATATCTGGGGAAAGAAACTGAAGTCCAGTGCTAAAATAATAGTTTATTGCATCAAGTGGAACTGAAGAGATTTTTTTTTTTTTTAACTGCTCATCTCCTTATTGTTGCATATATGACTTGAACGATCATACCAGATGGATGAGTATGAATCATGTGTGTAACAGTTGACATCTGTCAGCTTTCCTTATATTACAAATAATTTTGGTGTGGAAGGTATATGTGAGGAAAGAAACTGTTCCTGGCTGTTACCTTTCACTGCTTGGATGTAGGATTTTTTTTTTTTTAAGTGAATGAGTCAGAGAAGCATATATTCACCTCTAATTAAGCAATTCCATTTTTGTCTGTGGAAAGAAGTATTTTCAATGGTTTAAAACAGGAGGATTGTTCTTACTAGATAACAAATACATCATTATACATTATCTAATGTATATAAATGTTTTTGCATATGACCTAGCAAAACTTACACCTATTCTGTAGGACAAAAGAATGTTTGCAATGAATCATTTTAAAATAGTCCATTTTGTGACCGGCATAACCTACAAATATTTTTAGTATTACTTGTAGTGGTTGCTGCACATTTAATGTTAACTTTGGATTTTTAAAAAGTAGAGTTGCTAAATAGACGTTTATGTAGAGTGTTACTTTACTGTCAAGCTGACATCTCAGTCTCAGCAGGGGCCTCTAAAAACAAATCGTTAAGATTTATAGTATAAATAGTGTGATACTGTGAAAATGATACTTTCTATAAACTAGGCAGAACTAATTTGAGAGAAATATTTTTTAAAACACCTATATTTGAGAAAATGGTTTCAAGAAGGAAATGTTTCAGATCATTTTGATTTCTCCTAAAAAAAATCCACCCAAAAGTGTTTTTTCACAACTTCTTATATCTAGTATTTCTAAACCAATGTACTTGCCCATAGTCATTAGAAAATAAGTCTCTGATGTATGTGGAGAGTTACATCTTTGATTTGCACAAACATCAACAATGGTGACTACTTAGGTATAAAAGGCAAACCTCATACTTTTAACTGGAAACTCTTCCAGGTGGAGAAAACGTAACTACTCCAAATTTAGTTTTACAGAGCATAATGCTTGTGCTTTCATTCAAAGGAAAAATTGTTTCTGCTTTGATAAAATTAAGCAGGGTCTGTAGAATGTGGCTGAATGGTCTAAGGTCAATCTTTGTTTTGCTTGCTGATGATACTTAATTAATATCCAGAGCATCACATACATGCCAATTCTGGAATAAAATTAAGTGGAAGTAAAGCAGCTGTCCTCTCTAAACTGTTTTGGTTTTATTTTTCTTAAATACTTGAAGCTTAGCAGTGTAACTACATGGATCAGAGAAAAATTAAATGGTTTGGTGTTAAAATTCCTTCTCATTCATAAAATCCTTCAAATGGAAGTAGCAATGTTCCATTAAGACACATTCATCAGATTTTCTTTGCTTCAAGATACAGGCTTGATCAGACATGTTGGTAGTGCAGTCTAAATCCTTGATATTTCATAAGTGGGAAGTTTCAAGAAAAATGTTGAAGCCTAGTATTGTATGTGGGTTTCCATGCATGGTTTCTGAACTAATGCTTGTCAGAGAACAAGAATGAGTTTGAAAGGCTTTATGTTTGCAAATGATAAATATATGGGCATTTTCCCCCTTAGTCTCTCGAAGAAGTAGTGAAGAAATCAAACGGGATATCAGTGCACCTGATGGAGCATCTCCAGCATCGCTCATGGCAATGGGTACCACCTCACCACAGCTGTCACTCTCATCTTCTCCTACAGCATCAGTCACCCCTACAACCAGAAGTCGAATAAGGTAAAAACCCTTTTCTGTGGTGCACTGAAATGTATTAATTTCACAGCTATCTGTCTGTATGTATCTAGTATATAATATTGGCACTATGACTGCAGACTCTACTGCCACACATACGATAACTATCTTCGATAATCTTTGAGAGCTTCAGAAAGTGTTTTCTGCAGCTCAGTGTATGTAGACATTAGACCAGAAGTTAGGCTTTTTTAGAGCTTATGAGGTTAACACCAAAACTTTATGCTCCACTAGAAGACCAAGCTAAGTCATGCTGCTAAATAATAGCATCATATCAGTTCAAAATACCATGAAGCCAAATTCAAGAAATGAGCTTATGGCATGTTGAACAAATCTTTCAGAGTGGCCAGGACCTAGGGAGACCACATGATAAACCTTAACTTTTGTAATCACAGCCAAAGACAAAAAGCAGCATAACTAGGTCTTAATTCCAGACACTGCCAAGTCTTCTAAATAGCCATGAGTGAACAGGCCTGGGTTATTTGTCCCACAGATGAAATCATAATGCAAGTCTAAGTAACAAATGGCCAGGCAACCCCCATTCATTAGTAAGATAAAAAGATAGGTCTGTGATAAATTTAAAACTTTTCCTATCTGTAGCATTATCAGTCAAAGGACTTCAAGGTATTTAAGCCTCATGTTATGCGAGTGAAGTATGTACTTAGCCCTGCTTCATAGATTGGGAAACTGGCAGACAAAGGTTAAATTACTTTCTCAAGACCATTTAACACAGAGTTTCCTGACAAAGCTTTTGTGCAGCAGAAATACTAAACCCTTAACGTTCTGAGACATTTCCAAAATATAATAATTACATTATAAAATCGTGAAGTTATTTACAGCTGCGGATGCTATTGAAATTATTTCCCTGAAATCAGCTGAGGCATGCCTCAGTGCTGCTCTCCTTTCACTGTGCAGAAATTAAATTGAGTTTGGATCTGTGGGTACTTTACCAGCAGAAATTAATATTGTGTCTGTTTGCACCTAAATTTAGACCGAGTACATCCAGAAATAAAAAAAAAAAAAAAAAAAAAAAGACTAAAACACCTGTATATGAACTTTGAACTGGTAATGTATAAAATTGCATTGATGGCAGCCTGCAGACTGTAGCAAATAGTGTGGCATTTCAAGGTAAAATTGTACAGTTATAACTATGGTATCATTACTATGCTGCCCAACCACTGACTGCAATGCTAAGCACTACAAGAAGACTTGGCAGTGGTATCTGCAGCAGTGGGTGTGCGGTGATGAGCATGCTCTTTGGAACCGCCCTCAAAATGTCACTGCTGGACTTCAATTCTTTTTTCTCCCTACCTTTTTCTGAAAGTTCTTATAAAATAAACAGTTAATGCTGTAGTTCACTAAAGCAAATACTTGCAGTTTACTGTTCCCTGTTCTAGTTGAAACTTCATTGGCTCTTTGATTTGGACCTAATATACTAACTTGTAAGATTTATATGTCAAACCATTTCTCATTGTCTCCATACAACTTACACTTCTTCAGCAGTGTTTTCATAACTGTGAGAACCTGATATAAACCATGTGCTCTTACTGGAACTTGAGAACAGGCTGTACTCCCTCATGGCTAAACGGTATGTTTAGCGTAAAGAGAGGGAGCTTTTAATTTGAGTTCTCCTATGCTGTCCCAAACCCCTGTTCTAAAGTTCTCGTAGTGTTGCATAATCTTAGTTGTAGATTGAATATGCAATCCCATTGTTACTTGTTTCAATCACCAATGCAAAAAATACACCAGTTTGGGTTGTTGAAATATGTACTGATTTAAGAACTGAAGTACAGAATTTATTGAAGCATCATTGTGGCTGTGTGGTACCTATGAAGTTTAGATAGAGTAACCAATTCAGATAATTTATTTCATATTTAAAATTAGCAACTTCCTTGTGTTAAATCTGAGATTAGCAGTTAGGTTTGAAGGCTCATACTGCTATCTTTCATACTGAAAGGCACTTACTGTTTCCTGTTTGTTGTTCTGCTATGCATATATTTTCATGGATGTTTCAAATGCCACCACTGATATCTCCTTCTAAGCAACTTTGAGATCTTGCCAACTGTATTTAGTGAAGGCTGGCCAAGCAAATTGCAATCTGTATACTTAAGATTAGTGTCTTAGAACATTTTGTTGTATGTTGGCACGTGTTCTCTCCTTTTATGTGTTGAGTGACAGATGCTGATACATGGAACAGTCTCTGGTGTTCCGCTGGTAGCACACATACATGAAGAAATCCACATTCCCTGGATGCTTTCTTTTCCCCTAGCAGGACCTGCAGTATTGCTACCTGTAAAGCTGCAGCAGAGTATCCACTGAAAATACTATGTTTTTCCATCCTCCACCCCTCTTTCCAGTCACCAAATGGGTTGTAAAGAACAAAGAGCTAAAGATGTGAGAGTGAATGTATACAATCTGTATGTCTTTTTGGAAATACCCTAAGTTACTCCTTTGTCTATCATATTTGTGGATGTTGTGCAAATCTTGCTTACCTCTGCATACAAGTCTTTAAAAGATGGCAGATGAGGAAATCTTTGCAGTATGGATCCACTGACAGCTATCTTATTTTAATTTTCCAAATGGAAATTATTAAAAATAAGAAAAACTGCTGGCACACTTTCTGTCCAGTAACTAGGCTCCATAATGGTGTAATACCTAGTCTTTTTGTCAGAGACTGTTCACTAGAGTATCTATAGAAACACTGAATCGTGTAACCAGGCCACTACAAAAGTGTTAACCTCTATAATACATATTTTTTTTAATCTAAGCACTGATTTCTGAAGCCTGGTAAAGATATGTCTGTTATGTAAGACTCGTGTGAAAAACTGGTCAACCTGCATATGATCGTTCTTTTCTTCCCCAATCTTTCCTTAAAGGAAAAATGACTTAAGATAGCTTGACAAACTGGAAGTGAAATTAACTGATAGCTTTTATTGGTAATTGAAGGATCTTATTTCAAAAGAAGTGAATCATTATTGTACCAGTATATCAAATGACAGATCAACCTCATTAGATCTCCCCCTTCTTTTTTAAGAACTCCAGGTCTCAGGCACGTGTTCTGTTAATAATGGCATGCTGCTAATATGCAAACGTGTTGTTTCAAGGTGACATTCGTAATCAGCCATGAGATGCAAAAGAGATAACATCAGTTTATTCTCTTTCTAAATACAAAATAAAGTCACTTGAGTTAGCTTAATGGTTCAAGCTGAAACTTACCACGTTGTGAGTTTAATTTTCTGAACTCTTACAAAAAAATGTCATTGAGATTGAAAGACCTAGGAAAAAAAGTTTAAAGCAAAATGAAGGATGATTTTCTAATGAAAGAATTACTCCAAAATAACTCTTAAGTCTCTGCAGGTATTTATCTGTATTTAATTTTTCAGTCAGTAGTGCTGTACCCTACTACTTTCACTGTGACAATAATTTGTCCTTTTTTTTTTTTAAGCTTTTACAATATATATTTCTGTTCAAAAGATACGTTATAAGCTCCAGGTTGCACTTCTGCCTTGTTCCTAGGGAAGAGAGGAAAGATCCCTTGTCTGCCCTAGCAAGAGAATATGGAGGATCCAAGAGAAATGCCTTGCTGAAGTGGTGCCAGAAAAAAACAGAAGGCTATCAGGTAACTGTAGAGCTGTTTAACGTAGCTGCAACACATTAGAATCTGCCAGTGGCATAAACCAGGCTGCTCCACAGTTGACTGCATAGATTGCAATGGCACTGGTATGTACTGTACTCTCTTCTTGGAACACATGCTACAAGTCCTAACCTAACATTAATAGCTCTTTAGTCACTCTGCTCCATGTCGATAATAGCTTTTTTCTTAAGGGGGCAGCTGACCACCTGTTGAGGCACTGTAAAGCAGGCTTTTACAGGTTGTACTTTTGAAACTGTAACTGAAACTTTAGGAACTTAAGGTTTAGATTAATGTTTCCCAAATGCAGTTAAGTACCATTTCTTGGATTTCAGAGATTATTTTTTTTTGATAGGTAATTAGTGTAGGGTGGTTTGGTTTTGGTTTTGTTTTTTTTTTTTATTTTTCAGTGTGCTCCCATTTAGTCTATTTAGGGAGAATTTGTTTTGTGAAGGTTGCATTGTCTTGCATTTTGAACTTGGCTTTCTACTGTGGTTCCAGAGTTGGTTTTTTTTTTTTTCGATAGTCCAAATGTTATCAGAAGCCAAAAGAACTAACGAGATAACTATCCAGAGTTCTCCTGATTACATTATTTTTTTTTTCAAAAGAATAGTGGCTTCAGCAAACTAAACCAGGATGTTAATAGTCTGACCATGATGTATTTGTTTGGTTAACTTGTATTGAAAGTGTTTGGAGTTCCCAACACAATCCTCAGTTTAAGAACTTTACTCTTTCCATGACTTGAGACTCACAATGCAGGAGGAAGTTGAGAGCCGCATAACAGGATGATCGCCCATCCATAGGAAAAGTCGTCTTTCAGTACAATGGACAGGCTTGTGATATAAGCCCTCCCCCCTCTTCCTGTGGCACGTCTAGTTCTAAACTGTGCTATTTCTGAGGATAAGCTTCTTTGTGGAAAGAGCCCTTCTCCTTCCCCACATTTTAAAAAAGGCAGGATGTTATATTTCTTTATAAATCCTCTAAAACTGAATGCAAAAATATTTTCCCATATTGTCTTGAAATGAAAGATTAATTTGACAGCTTCCTTATCTGGTTAGGAAAAGTAATAGAAAATATTCCAAACTTTTCATTCTACAGTGGTGTGCATATGCAAGAGCATACTTTTGTTTATATAGATTGCTGCTTATAATTACTTGAGTTTTACAAACACTAGTAGAAGAATAGGTTTTGAGACTTACTGTACTTGCTTTAGCAACTGTAGTATGGTTCTCTGCTTGTATTGCTACTGAGCATATAGCATCTGTAGAGCCAATGCATGCCTTCTTTTGAAAGAGTAGGATAATATCAGGAAGGTACATTAAGACAGTCTTCTCCAAAAACTAACTTTGCTTTTTGCATGCTCATTTTTCATTTCTTTGTACAGAATTTGATTATTTTCAGCATGCAAGTTAGTGGTGTTCTAGTGTTTTAAACATATCTAGCACTGTATTAATTCTGAACAGTGCTTATCCAGCTTTCTGGCATTTCAACAGTGTTATCAATGCCAGATAAGTATCTTTTTTTTTTTTTTTTTTTTTTTTTTTTTAATTGAAGCTTTGCTGAGTTTTAATTTAATTTTAAAACTGTGTGGTTTCAAAACTGACAAGCAGTAAACAAGCATCAGAATAATTAACATCTCCCTTCCTCATTCAGTCCTACTGAAGGTACTCTAGCTCTCTTCCTTCTTCCCTGTCACCCAAATATTGACAGGGTACCTTTTCTTACCTCCACCTCCTCCTAGTGTCTTTTATGCTGCCACAATTCCCTTTTATCCCCAGCATTTCCTATCATCACAACTTCTTTTTCTTCTCTACCATTGTTTGCTTTTGTTTGGCTTAGCATCTGGGCAAGAGCCAGTGTGTGCTTTTTAGAGCTACCTGCACGCTGACTGACCAGCCATCTTCTGTCTCTGAGCTGCTGCATGAGCCACACAGAACAGAGGAGTCCTAAATATCCCAGCCTTTTCCTCTGTAGGAAAAGCAGTAGGTCCGCTTTCTATCTAGTCGCCAGTTTGTATCCTGATACTGATTTGAATCAATGTTAGCTATTATTTAGTTAGTTATAAATATACCAGGTTAAAGGAAAAATACTTGTAAATTGAGTCTGTAACAAGTTCTAAAATTACCTGGAAGATTTAAGCCATGATTTTGGAAACAGGGAAAAGAAAATTCATTTCTAATGCAAATCTAATTAAGCAATCCAGTATTTTTCAAGTATGCCTTTGCCAACATGGAAAGATGTGTTTCCTTCTTCAGCAGATGCCAACAACAATCACTTTTTTGGTCTTGTTTTCTCCCTCTCGCCTCCTGTTATAGTGGAATGATTTTATTTAAAACCCTTCACACACATTCACAGACATTTACACCAAAGTGCACTTTCCACCTCTGACAAATATATAGTTCCACATAACAGAATTTTTAAAGGATGCATTATGATAAACAAGCTAATACCTAATCCAGTTAAAAAAACATGATAAACTACTTCATTGTACAGTTTTCTTGATTTATTCAAGCAAATTTGGAAGGGAATAAAGGAATAGATTACTTGAAATGTAGTGATAAAACAATATTTAACTATGTTCCAAATCTGGTATTTTTTAAAGACTTACCTCAATAAAAAAATAAGGTTTAAATAGCCAATGAAAATAAGATAAATTCTTACTGATGTAAAAAACTGTATGGCTTTTCCTCTTACTATATCATTGTTTTTCATATACTGAATGTTGCTTGCAAGCAGAATTTCTCCTTGAAGCTTAGATTGGGAGAATGGCAATCTGCAGAAGGTCATTGCAGACCTAACAGCAGGCAGGTTCTGTATTGACTTTCATCTAGAGCCTGTTTGGTCTAGACAGTATTGCACTCACTAAGTTACTGCGTTTAATTATATTCAGGGCTGAACAGATCCCTAAGCCATGAAAGAGGAGAGTTACTCTCAAGGGTGTGGGTTTTTTAAGCATTTAGATAAAGGAGGAACGAATCACCTTTAGTTTTCAGATGAACAGGCACAAAATACTTGAAATTTGATCATGTGTTAGCTTACTCAGGATCTGACATACTGATTCAGAGTACAGTGCCAAGTGCTGCATTTTCCAGAGAGAAGAGAATCCTGGCTCCTCTGAAATGTGACAGTTTTATGACACTGCACATAAATTCCAGATATCTTCAAAGCATAAAATAATCCAGTCCAGCTGTTATGGAGCATTTACCCTAGCTGGAACACAGCTACTTTCGCTTTGAGTATACAACTAATAAAAATCCAAAAAAGGATGTGAGCATGCATGTTTCATGTTAAGAAGGGGACCAATAAACAGGATACACACATCCTTACCCATTCTTATCTACAGCAATATTTCAATTTATTTTCCATTTTTCGTCAGCATTCTAAGAGATAATTCACTTCCAGAAGTCTGACACCAAAAAAATAATTGTCACAAGATAGCAGCAAGAATAGACTAAATTTTTTTTTAAACCTCTCTTTAAGCTTTCTATGCTTCCTAATTACAGATACACTGGAAGACTTCCTTAATGTAGCCTTGTAGTACCTGTCCTCTAATTCATGCAATGAATTTTTCTGGAAAGACCACATAATTTCTACCTCCTATACAGATCAAAGCTACATGTCTCACAAAAAAATTAAAATTTATTATCTACATGATAGCAGTAAACAATAAAATTGCTTAGTGATTTAGCAGTGCGATTGGGTATGAATGTATGTGTACGTAATGCTGTGCTGAACCTACCTTGAAATCAAGCAATGCTTTCATTTGTACTTAAGTAGTAAGTGTAGAATAACAAAGCTAAAGGTAAAAGATGATTCAGGTTGCTTTTTTAAAAAATCTGTTCTTACATACACATCTTTATCAACACTAAGCTAAACCATATTCTACTCAGTATTATACTGATATTAAAAAAAGCACAAAAAGAGGACAAGACTGTGTGCTTATGTAAGCCTGTGTTCAAATAATGATTCCAGGGTGTGCATGCTTTCCCTGGTGCTCTCTGGTTGATTCATCAAAGTAGTCAGGCTGCCAAAACACTTCTCCTTGGTTTAAGCTGTGATGCTTTAGCCAAAAATTGTTGAGTTAAGGAAGGACATGCTTCCTTTTTCTGTTTGGATTGGATTCTGATACAAGAGAAATGTCAACTTGTTAGACTTAATTATGACAAAATTTAGAATAAATTATGAAGCTGTCTGTGTCTCTGTAAGTGCTTCAAATGTTCCTGTCTGAAGCTATTACTGGGTTTTTTGAAAATTACTGCTGCTTTTATGTTCTTTTTTGTGCCCAAACTGAAGAATAACATGTCTTTTATATGGAAAGAAACATTAACAGTCAATATTTAAGGGTTTTGATGGTTTATATTTGCCATTTACTGCCTTTTCACAAGCTGGGAATGAAGAGGCAGTAGTTGGGACTGCTGATAAGTGTATTCCAGAAAGACTTTTACTTTCTCACCTACTGTGTGAAGTACTGATAACCTCAGCTTTAATCCACTATTTGAGAATCAGTGAATCCCAATTCATAGAATCATAGAATCGTTTAGGTTGGAAAAGACCTTTAAGATCATCAAGTCCAATCGTTAATGGAATGTGGATAACAGTTATTTTGTAGTTTACCTTTCTAAATTTTTAAATGAACACTCTCTTCTTTTGTGTGTGTATGTGTCTTTAAAAACTTTTAAAAGCTTTTTAATACTAATTTTCTGCCTTGGGAAGAAGCCTGCCAAGGTCTGTACACTTATACCTCAAATCTTGTTTTAATGGTTTAATGTATTATAGTACAGAATCATGTTAATGCTTTTGCTTTCTCAGCCCACTTATTTTATCAACTAATACAACAGAGACATAGACACATGTTTTTATTTTCTCCATGTCCTAACTCATTTGTGAGCCAAACTGAGTTAGGATGTGGGAACCTCTCCTTTTGCAGAGCAAGGGATGGAGAAATAGCTGCTATACAGTATGCTCCTCTGCTCAAATTGTAATACCCA